AATGATTGCCTATTTTAGAACCATCCAAATAGAGACTGATTGCTATTACGAACAAAGAAGACTATTCATAAAAATAACCTTCCTTTTCAGTATTATGGGCAGCAGTGGTGATAAAAAGCCATATACTATACCGTGAAAGTCAGTCATGCAAGGCCCCCCAGTGATAGGCACCAAACATTTTACTCACTTGCTTTTTCATCTTTTAATCAGTTAACCTATCAACCATTCAAATCTGTTTTCCCAGATGTGCCTATTAGATGTTTGCAGACGAAACACATCTTCTTTTGTTTGCTATTCTTTAGTGTCCATATATATAGTTAGTGTCCATATGTATTTAAAAGCAGAAAGGTATGCTGAATAAAATACCAGAAACAAGCTATTTTTCTTGGTAATGGGCAAAAGGCATCAGTGGGTTTTTCCAGACATGAATTCCGTGTCTTTTAGGACCTTAATGATTCATCTGACAAAGTAAAATATTGGTTGCTTTTCTGTGGGAAGATTTGCAGAGAATGTCTTTTCCTCAGATGTACAATTTACTCCCGTGAAAGGATTAAAGAAAGAATAAAAGAAATCTAGTTTAATACAAATGAATTCCAGTCAAAGATGTGGACACGCAATACTGGGATAGCTTAAAAATATCTCTTCTTTGGCAGACACATATTTGAGATAAGTATTTTTACTGTGAGTAGGAAATTAATTTTAGGGTGCATTTAGAATCTAATATTGAAGGTTAGATAAAATCACAGATGTGATTCTTGTTTTATGAAAGTCACATATTTATGATAACAACCTCAGTCACTTTGCTTCATATTTTTATGAATAACAAAAAAAGATAATAACACACTTAAATATATAACCACATTATTTTACAAAACAGTATTTGCAGCAAGAGTACAATGAAATATTTTATACATTGAATGCTCAATTTTGTAAGTATCTAATACCAGATTTTCATCTGTGTCGGGATGGAGATCATTATTGTATGCTTTTAGAGTATGGAGTCTCTGTATTTAAAAGGTTGGGGTGAGTGTTGGTTCAGTGAAGCAAGAATAGTGTGAAATGTTGAAACAATATCATGCTTTAGTATCAGAAAATAAGAATAGGTACAGTTTCAATTCTTTAAATCCATAATGGAGACACTGTGATGCTCTATATTACAAGTCCATGTGAGTTGGTCATAGTGTGTCTGATGTTGGAGCAAACATCCTGTGCATGTCTTTGAGGATATTTTTGATCAAAATAACATTTACATCAGTATACTTAGTAAAATACTACATGGCTTAAGTCTCATCCACTTAGTCAAGGTCTGTATAAAAGGTGTTCCTCCAGAGGCTGATCCTTCTAAAAGTAAGAGAGGACTCTTCATGCCTGACTTTTTGAGCATGGAAATTGTTCTTTCCCTGTTTGGAACAGGGAGCTGAAACAGTGGTGGTCTGTAAGTCTTAGGCTTGCTATCTTTTGGCCAGAAATTTATACCATCAAGTCTTCTGGATCACAAACTTGGGCTGGCATTACATTATCAGCTCTTTTCAGTCTCCAGCTTCTGATTATATTGGGATATTTCAGACTCCAATAATTTTAAATTAGCTAATTTCTAACAATAAATTTCTTTCAATATGTATATATGTACATCCTATTGGTACGATGTTTCTGGAGAACACTGAATGATACAGGTAGTAATCTCTATGACTATGTTCATCATGGTGTTTACTTCTGTCCATCTCTTGAGCATAATAAAAACTAAAGATATGCAAAGTGTGATGGTATGTTCCTGTAACCCCAGAACTCTGGGAAACTGAAGCAGAAGGATCAGGTTGAGTCCAGCCTAAACAACTTAATGAGAAAGAAATTATATTAAAAAATAGGGATGGGAGGCTAGGACTATAGCTTAGTGAGGAGACCTTACATTCAGTCGCTAGCACTACAGAATAGCCTAGTACTCAGAACACATAAAACATACAGTGCTACAATCAGTAAGCTCGCACTGCAGTTGTCATCCTGAGAGAGCAAAGTGCATTTTCCTCAACACTTATTGACCAATTTAGACACATTAATCCCTGTTCTGCCCACGGTTTCTGCCACAGGATAAAGTAAATGTACTTAGAATATGAAAACTACTTTAAAATTCTTTTTTAAAAAAAATCTAACATTTTAAAGAAAAGAATTGAGGTGCAAACTAGGAACTTATTTAGTACCTTCAATAAATCAAATCCTTAATCTACTAGAAGAAAAAAACATTAAAAAACTTGACCTTCCCCAAGGTCAAGGTTGAAGATACTGCGTTTTAATGATTGCATGTACCAAGATGATCTTCACTCATTGACACTATTGTGAAATAACATTTTCAGTAGACAGTTATTTGGCCTTTGATATTATCTAGTCATATATATAAAGTACTTCATAAGATTCTAGATATGGTTCCATTAATGCCATGAGGTCTAAGCAAAATTTTGTTAAGTCCTACATAGTGCCCATAAAGTTTGGTCAAAGATGACACTGGATTTTCCACTTCCTCTTTTATTAAAGTTGCTCTTTCAGTGGAGGTAGCTTTCACTCAATCCTGTGAAAAGATGTGAAGAGCTATCTATGAACAAACCTAGAGCTCGAAGCTAACTTGAGCCTACTCAGCTTGTCAATAATTCTCATGCTACACTGTTCTTCATGTTGCAGAATGAGCTCTCAGAAAGTCATCGAAGATCTGGATTCAAACAGTTTTGCCAGTTCAGCACAGGGATAGTGACGGAAAGTCAAACAAAGAGGAGGAATATGAAATTGAGACTTTAGGGGCTTAGGTTATTTACTAGTGATCTTTTAAATGTGCTGCTGGCCACATTTGCTCTTACCAAGGATTCCTGCACACTGCTGCCTCTAGTTCTTTCCTGAAGCAGCTATGCAGTTGGGGAAATGTAGAAGTTCTGGAGAAATGAATCCAATATATTTGGATTCATTCGTGAATTTATTTGGTCAATATTTGTTGAATGCTTATCACATGCCAGATGTTGAGCCAGGTATTGGGCAAAACAATTACCATCAAAACAGACAGCAGTTTCACTAATCATAAACAAATACACAGCTGAGACTGATAGCACTGAATGAGATAATCTGATGAATTAAAGCTTCAACATACCCTGTGAATAAATGCATATGGCCTAGTCAGGAAAGTACAGAAAGAACTGTAAAAGTAAGTGATGGTCAGGCTGATTTCTCACGAGTGAATATGTGTTAATTAGGACCAGCAAGAGGCAAGAGTTGGAACAGTTAAAGGAACAGTGTGTGCAAAACTCTATAGCAGGAGGGACCATGACCTTGTAGAAAAAGAGACTAAAATGAGATAGGTTTGGCTGGAGCAGGGAGATGAGAAGACAGGACAGGAACTGTGTTGTTGGGAGATAACAAAATGAGCAGTTAGGGGCAAACCAGGCAGGAGCTTATAGGGCATGCCGAGGACTTTTTTGTTTTTGAGGAGTGCTGATGGACCTACTTTCTGGGCGACTGAAAACTTTCCATTTCCACATCTCTGAAGGGTAAAGATAGTGTATCAAGAATGAATATGGATTAAGAGGAATGTATCACCCTAAATATGAGTCATAGATTCAACTCAGTCCCTTGGAAACCTATTATTGTGGCTTATTGCAAAAACTTAAATATAGTTAAATAAATGCTAGGAAGAGAGATTAGTTGAGAAGGTTAAACTGTTGATTAAAGGGGAGTGTATTGGCGGGAGGGAGGAAAAGTACCACTCAGGAATTCAAGTCTTCTGCAGACTAATCTTATCTGAGCTGACCCTATTACTATAGGCAAAGTAATTAACCTCTCTATGCCTTGGTTGCTTATCTGCAGAGTGAAGATAATGATGACCAATTTATAGCAGAGCAAACCATTCTGTAAACATCAACAATTATATAAATAACATAAATAATTACCTATCCTGTTGTAAGATTCCAGCCCTTACCTTAGAGTTTAAACATCTTCTGTCTGCCTAAATGATGTGTCAGTTTTTATTTCTGTCAAATAGCATTGTGTGTGTGTGTGTGTGTGTGTGTGTGTGTGTGTGTATGTGTTACAGTGAGCTTCTGTGTATTTTCCTATACAACTAATTTTATGTTCACTGAAAATATAGCCTGGTGTCTATTGTTCAAGCAACAATACCATGAGTCCTAGATAATAGGGGTAATTTCTAGTGAAAATAGATAGTTAGACAAGAGAATCTGCTAAGAGAACAAGAAGGACAGGATGGCATAGAAGAATAGGTACTTTTAGCTTCTTTTAAAGTGATAACTTTTTTTGCTTGATAAATAAAAGTATTTTTTTTGCATTATAAGATGATGGCAATTATACCAGCTCTTGTTAAGCAATTCAGATTGAATCAGCAGGCGCATAACATTATGCCAAGAAGTGACAAAATGAAGGTGCTCCTCATGGTGTATCATTGTGGATTTGCTGATTCACATTTAAATTGATGTTTCTTTTGTGGTATTTCTGATAATCTTAAAGTATTTATGAAACTATATTCTTTCAATGGCATAAAGCTTGCCTGGTCCTGTAATTACCCTTGGTTGTAATGCCACACTTACTTCATAGATGAAAGGAAATCATAATCTTTTGGAACAATGAAATATTTACAGATCTGAAAAAGCTATTTGTGAACTTGGAAATTCTCTTCTATACTTTCTTTTCAAAATTCGTGCTTAGTAAGTATGCAGGCTGTTTCCGCGATAATACAGTGACTCAGATATATTACTGCATTGTTTCTGTGGGCGTTTTGCGTGGCCTAGAGCCCAACCGCTGCCTGGAGCACTTGGGTTAGTGGCCATGCCTGGCCAATAAGGCACAATGAATTGGGTGGAACTAAACCTTTAGTTCTGGCCCAGTTGCCTTGTGTTATGCAACTGTGTTCCTCTTGCCCTTTTGCTCATCTAAAGGGGAAAATTGGTGTTTGATTTTTGTTTCACAGAGGCTACACAATATTTCCAGCATGTCTTTGATTATTAAATTCTCACCTGATTGGACTTTCTTTTCTGATGCCCATTTCTTTCTGCTCTGACATCGCTGTGGTTGATTCTGTTGGATGCTGAGGGTCAGAATTTGCAGGCAAATCACAGGAATCTTTCTTGGAGATTTTATCTATGGCAAGTAAACAGCATACATGTAGGAGAATATGTGTTACTCTTGACATAGTTATATTGTGCAAGATCAACTGTAGTTATTTCCCAGAGTAAATCTCTAGAAATGCCTCCCCAGGCTTTCTTGTAAGGACCTCACACAGAAGTTAACTTGATGCATCTTCAGACCAATGAAAAATACACTGAAGTTCAAGTATTATGTCTTAGAAGTTTGCATGGTGTATTACTTTTTGATATTTACAAACCCGAGAATAAGCATTCACCATCAAAAATGCATTCTGGATTTTGCTCAAGTACTGATAATTCATGGCAATAACTGAAACATCATAAACTTCAGTAAAGTAAAACAGAAATGATGCCATTGATGTTATTTTAGAATTCACATTTTATTTTTTTGAAATAAAATGTTTTATTTTGATTAGATTATGCTGGGCTGTAGCAACCTTCCTGAGGAATTAACACAAACTTGTATATGATAACTTTATTTTCAATTCAGAAGTTTTCTTCTGTCAAAATTACCTATATAAATTTTAATTAATGGGGTTTAAATTATAGTTTACCCAGAGAAAAATTGATTTGCTGGTAAGTGCTTGGATTAAAAAACACATAAGTTTTTAATGAAAATAAATTACTTAATATTAAAAGAAAATATAGAAGGTAAAAGAAAACAGAATAGTTACCCAAAATTTCTAATTTATTTTTAATTGAATATACAGTATTTAGAAAATTGAACTTGAGACCCAAATTATAAATCTTAGGTAGTTTAAAAATTTAAGCAAACCCAGTATTGAAAGTTTGAATTTTTAAAAATGGTAAATTAGTGTATTTTAAAAAAAAATTTTTTTTGATACAAGGGCTAGAACTATCACAACTGTCACTGCTTGCAAGGCAGGTGTTTATGCTGCTGAGCTAAACCCCTGGCCCAAAAAAGGTAAATTAAAGAGTGATCATTTTACAAATTTTTAACTTTATAAATCCTTTATAGTGCACAAACTTTTCTGTGATTTACATAATCTTTCAATATTCTGACCTTTTAGGAAAGTGTTTCAGGAATAAAGGGAACCATGAAATTTAAAATTAGTCTTAAAATTTATGAATTAAAAAAATTAACCCCCAGATTTCCCAGGATACTTTCTTATTTATTGAAAAATCATTTCCTCTGTGAGCCTGTTCTCCCAAATTTGGATTGATGGTCTATTTTTTATCTGGAATTTCAGTATTTTGGTCAAAAGATAGAAAATGTGGTGCTAAATATGTTTTCATTACATTTTAATGAAAATCTCCCCCCCAACTCTTTGATTTACTTAGGGTACCAAAGACTCTCAATGTAACCATTATCTTTGAAGTGTGTGTTGAAGGACTGTATTTCAGGTGAAAATTGCTATGTGTATGGAATTTTACTGCAAATTATAGACGGGTTATTTTTATACATTTATAAGATTTACTAATACCTAGTAGCTTTAGAATAAAAAATAGCACGTTGACCATGTCATTTTGTATAAAGAGGTATTTGCTTGACATGTAAGAGATGGATCAGTATTCTCTGTGTTTGGATCAAGGCATATTTTCCCATTTCTCTCTGTCTGCCCCTCTGACCTCCCCCACCCAAGGAAAAAAAAGAAAAAAGAAAGGAAAAGAGAAATCATTTTTCAGGTCTGTAACATTATGTAGCATTATAATTATATATATTACTGCCTAAGAAAGCGGTAATTTGTCGTTTTCCCATGTCTGCAAACACTGGGACAATTGCCATAATACACTTGAGAGCAGAGCTCTTCATCTCTGGCCACTGGTGTCTAGTTGCATTTATGGATTGGATCCATGGAAACTCAGTGTTGCATGCACTTTTGTTTGTTTTTGTTTTTAAACATGGAGAGAATCTAGAGTTTTCTTGATCTCTTTAAAGGAGTCAAATAATATTTAAGAGACTGTTAATGACTACTTCTTATAACAAAGATGAGCAGCATCATGGGTATCTACTGGTAATTCAAGCTTCAGTATGAGTATTACATTTCGATTATTACTTTTCTGCTAGTAACAGTTAAATGACTAATTGTTTTGTAATAGTTCCTTTGTTCCATTTTAATAAGAATTTTTTGTTTACCATCATAACATTTGGATTATATTAACTCTAAACTGATCCTAGGATCATAGTTAAGTGTTCCAGGGTCATTTCATGCCACTTTAAAATGACATTCTCTCTATTATTATAAGTCTAAACTTTTTAAGAATTAATGGCAGCCTAATTTGATATGTAAATAAATCATTGATTATATAATAATTCCTTAAGAATTTGATGATGATGAAAAACGATTTACTATCTTTTCTTGGATTCAAAAGAGAACAACAACTTTTTTATTTTAGAAAACAAAACAGAAAAAAGGATAGAAATTATACAGAATTTCAAAAAAATAGGAAATTAACACTAGTTAATATATTGCATATTGCTATCTTAGAAGTAGTTTTTGAGGTTATAAGAGTTAGGCATAAAAATGATCAAACAATGTAAGCACAAACTATTGTTTCTGATGAACTAACAGAGCTTAGTAGTATAGTTATCTATCTTGTATACACACACACACACGTACATACATTTTTTTCCCATCTTCCTTTTCTCCTTTCCCCTATGCCGGTTGTTCTTTCCTTTTGAGCATTTTCTTTCCCTTTCATTATCACAATATCTGTTGTATGTTTTGGATCTTACTACTCATTCAATTTTTTTATACCCCAGGGAGACAATATATTCACAAATGTGAGTCTGACTTATTTCACTTATGAATAGGGTCTCAAGTTGCCTCCATTTACGTATAAAAGCCTCAAGATTATCCTTCTTTATAGCTGAGTAATATTCCCTTGTATGAAAATACCACATCTTTATATCCATTCTATCGTTGTTAGGCATTTTGTTGTTTCTTAGATTTAGCTATCACAAATTGTACTGCTATAAACATGGGTGCACATATATCACCGTAACATGACATTTTCAACTTTTCTGGGAAAATACCTAGAAGGGGAATAGCTGGGTTGAATGGAACTTCCAATCCTAGTTTTTTGAGGAATCTCCACACTGATTACCACGGTGGCTGCACCAGCCTACACTCTCACCAAGAATGGAGGAGCATTCCTTTTCCCCCACAGCCCCGCCAACACTTGTTATCAGTTGATTTCTTGATGACAGCCATTCTATCTAGAGTGACATGGAATCTCAATGTTATTTTAATTTGCACTTCTTGAATGACAAGTGATGTTGAACTTTTATTCATGGTAAATACACCAATTTGCATTTCTTCATCTGAGAAGTGCATGTTCATCTCAGATGCCCATCTTTAGGTTGGGTCTTTGAATTATGGGAGCCTTATTTTTTCAGTCCTTTATATGTGAAAACCACAACTTTAAAAACTCAAGAGGAGTTCAAACCAATGCATTTCCATCAACCAGAGTTGGGTAGGGTTGTCTTTTTATCCACTTGGCATGTTATTTGTGAGACAGATGGTCACCATGTTTGCATCATCCTGATGAAAGAGGAATCAAAGGCACAAGGCACGTCTTGCTATGGCACCTGAGTGAAGCTTTTTCAACTGCACATTGCACTGCTTTCCAGGTTCACAAACGGATGGCAGTGTTTTCTCTTTTATAGCTGCCAAATGAGTAGTCTAAGTCTTTCTGCCAATCATTCTTTTCACATTTTATATAGCAATTGTCAGGTCTCGTCAGTGTCCTTGGACAGATTTTGCCCTGGAATGTGTGGCTGTGGGACATCATGAAATCTGGATCCAGTGTGCTGCTGTGGTTGCTTTCAGTACATGTGGAAGAAGGAAAGGACTGAGTTTGCCTCCATACACCTGGTTGAGTCTGTTTCCAGTCTGGCGGTGCATCACACTGGGCTGTGTAACATACTTCATATCTGCGTGGCTGTCTTGCAGCCATTCATCATGGAAGGCCACGACAGGTGTGGCGCATCCATTTCCCTCTTCAAGAGGAAGCATGTTAACCTTTTGCATTTTTTCAGTGGCCTTAAATCAATACTGGAAAAAGAGGAATTCAAATAAAGAAATTGCTTTTCAATAAGGTTGTGAATTACAAACATATTGAATTGGTTTGTTTTTGTTATTTTTTGTTTTTTTTTCATGAGTATAAAACAGAGAAGACTTGAAAATACTTTCGTTGGTCGGAATTGCTGTGGGATGTGGTCACATGATTGAATTTCTAATTCCTTAAATCATCAAATGTATTGTGGATTCTTTTCTCAAAAATAAATCTACTTTCATTAAGAACCAACAGTACATTCTATTATACCTGATAATACAGGCAACTCAATTTAAAAATAGCAAGAGGCACAATGGTAACCACTTTTGATCACCTGGTATTCTATTTTTGCATCGTGTACTATGTCCATTCTTCTGTTCTGATTCTGTTTTGCTTAGTCACATTTGGTTTTATTCTCTTAAAAAAAAAAAAAAAGCAATAAGAACTGTGGGAGTAATAAAAACCCCCAAAGTGTAATTTTATTGTAAAAAAGAGAGGAAAGGAAAGTGGACTAAGGGATATAACCGCAGGTATGTTTGAGTGTGTAGGGTGGAAAACCATATTACTGAGCTTTTGTTGGATCATTTAATGGAACTGTCTCCAATATCACTGTATGAATGTCCACTTTATATGTTTTAATTTTATAATTTGGACAACTGTTTCTAAGAAGACAATATGTAACCTATTAACTAGTGATTTCTTATGGTATATTCTTTTCTTGAAATTCTGTATTATTTGTACCCTTTTACTGCTTTGTTTTTTAATGTCCTTTCTTTTTTCTCTTTAAATAAAAAAAATAAAAAAAAAGAACCAACAGTACATGATTAACTAGATGTTGGATGAGTTAATAGAGACTAGGTCAGTATGTTTTTTACTATATTTGTGATACTATTATTATTTTTATTAATAAATGTGCATTGATGTTAATGTAATGAAAATCATAGTTTTAGGAAACATGTAATTCATAATTATGGC